GGGGAGTCTGCCTCTCCCTCTGACCCTCCCCCTTCTCATGCTCTCTCTCTCTCCCATTCTCTCTCTCAGATAAATAAATAAAATCTTAATAAAAAAAACTTTAAAAAAATAAAATCTTAAAAAAATAAAATAAATAAAATAAAATATGGTTTGACTGCATGAGTGAAAATATGAATTCAGGAAATAGGAGAAAACACAGAGAAACACAAAGGACAAAACCATCCAGAATAACCACGGGTAATGTGTTCGTGTGAATCCTCATTTTTGGTATAAAATGAATTCAAGCAATAGATACTTTCTTACCTGCTCTTTCCACCGGTTGTTTCTGGAACATCTTTCTGTCCCTGCGTGCATGCGCCCACATCCTTTTTCACAGCTGCCTAGCACTCCACGGTGGGCCTGCGCTCCGCGCGTGCTGCCCGAATCCCAACCAGCAGCCTCATGTTTAGAGGCGCCCACCCTGACCTGTGAGTCCCGGGTCTGGACGTGCGCTGAAGGTGAGGAGCTGCTCGAACTTACTGAAGCCGACGGAGGTTTTTCCAGCTTTTCCACACACGCAGAGCTGCCCTGAAGGTCATGGACCCACTGGGAGGAGGTAGCAGAGAACGGGTTAGGGGAGGAGCCCTTGCTTGGCCACTGGACACTTGGCCACATGGCCCTTCTGTCTATAGGACGAAAATCAACATGTGCCGTGTGTCTTTCCTGGGTCATTCCACGACATCATGGCCCTCGTCTGAGACTACCCAAGACTAGTTGGATCCCTACTCCTCCTTTACAGTACAGACAGGAAGCTGCTGCTTCCTGTCTTGGATTCCCTCCGATCTCCAGTAATCCTCCTGCTCTCGGCAGGCCTTTATCCAAAGCACCCACCACTGACCCCGACGTGGCTCTGCCTGATGGTCAGCCCTCACTCCACTGTTTGGACCCATCAGTGGCGCTTGTCCAAGCCACCGCTCCCTCCTGCCCAGAACACCCTCTCCCTCTGCTCCCTTCCTGCCTCATCCGTGCTGCTCTTGATTCCCTGAGGATGTCTGAACACGGGAGGGCCCAGGAGACCACGATCTCCATTCTCCCCTCTTGCCACGTGATCTCCTCCTGCCCTGGACCTTTCCAAACCACGGCACTGGCAGCTCCCCCAAGTGTGCCCCCAGCCCACATTCCGGGGGCCCTGAGCGAGCCTTAGATATACACCTGCCGACTCAAGTGGCTGTCCATCTGTGCTCTTCCTCTTACCACGCTGGACCATCCACACTCTGGCCTGACCTCCCACAGCCTCCTTGGTCTCGCGGATGGCAGCACCACTCTCCCTCCAGCAAAGCTGGGACTCACGGGACTCCTTTCATTCATACTTACATCCAACCTGAAAACAGACCTGCCCTCACGGCCACGCATAAATCAACACGCGTGCCAACAGCTGCATCACTGGGCTGGTCCAAGCCCCCATCACCTCGTGCCTGGATTATTCCAGCAGCCCGAACTGCTCCCCCGGCTTCCAGCTCTGTTTTTCCCAACATAGTCACCGGGACCTTTTGAAACGTGTGTCCCCCCTCTGCCCAAGGCTCTCTGAAAACTTCCTAGCCTCAGATCCTGGCACTTGTGTGACCCTCTAGCCCCATTTCTCTTGGGATCTCTGCTCTCCCGTGACACCGAGCCCCTCCAATAACTCCCACTCTTTTCGCTCCTTATTCCACTTTATCGTTTGCCACACAATCTGTCCCATCAGACTAATTCGAACCTACTAGAATGTGCGTTCCATAGAGGTGGGGTTGGCCATGGCTTGGTAACTATTGAGTCTAGAAAAGTCTGGTCTTTGGAAGACGCAGACAATAAGTACACGCTGAACGAAGGAATGAAACTGCTGGACTGGTAGTGAGGCTTCAATGAGGTAACGGCTGTCACTGCGTGTCAGTGGAAACCTCTGTAAGAGGAACTGCTGGGTCAGAGAACATGAGCCTCTCTCACAGCAGCTTTCTTTATCCTTCAGAGAAAAAAACCACACCTCTGACAATTTAGGCCAGCCCCGTGAGTTTTCCCTCATCAGTTCGGGCATTCAAAACCTACTGACTTGAGGGGCGCCTGGGTGGCTCAGTTGGTTGGGTGTCCGACTCTTGGTTCTGGCTTGGGTCATAGTCTCGAGGTCATGAAATCAAGCCCCCCAACCGGCTCCACACTGGGTGTGGAGACTGCTTGGGATTATCTCCCTCTCCCTCTGCCCCTCCCCCTGCATGCAAATAAATTAAAAACCATTAAAAACACACAAACTATTGATTCAATAGCCGTTAGGACACCTCGCAGTTGTTTCCATATGGATTTGATTACTTGCTAGTGTGTTGAGTTGAATAGAAGCCCTTGTCCACCTGGAACCTCAGAACGTGACCTTATTTAAAAAGGTCGTTGGGCGTCTGCCTTCGGCTCAGGTCATGATCCCAGGGTCCTGGGATCGAGCCCCACATCGGGCTCCCTGCTCGGCGGAGAGCCTGCTTCTCCCTCTGTCTGCCGCTCCCGCTGCTTGTGTTCCCTCTCTCACCGTGTCTCTCTCTGTCAAATAAATAAAAAAAATCTTTAAAAAAAAAAAAAAAAGGTCTTTGCTGTGAGCCTGGGTGGCTCAGTTGGTTAAGCCGCTGCCTTCGGCTCAGGTCACGATGCCGGGGTCCTGGATCGAGCCCCGCATCGGGCTACTTGCTCCGCCGGGAGGCCTGCTTCTCCCTCTTCCACTCCCCCTGCTTGTGTCCCCTCTCTCGCTGTGTTTCTGTCAAATAAATAAATAAAATCTTTAAAGAATAAAAAATAAATAAAAAGGTCTTTGCAGGGGCACTTGGGTGGCTCAGTCAGTTAAGTGTCTGCCTCCAGCTCAAGTCATGATCTCAGGGTCCTGAGATCGAGCCCCACATCAGGCTCTCCACTCAGTGGGCAATCTGCTTCTCCCTCTCCCTCTGCTGCTCCGCACCCCTCACCACTTGTGCTTTCTCTTGCTCACTCTCTCCTTCAAAAAAAAAAAAAAAAAAAAAAATATATATATATATACACACACACACATATATTTTTAAAAGGTCTTTGCAGATGTAGCTGCTTAAGATGAGATCATACCGAATCAAGGTGGATCCTAAATCCAATGACTGGTGTCCTCATCAGACAGCCACACACAGAAGGAAGAACACAGGGTGAAGACAGAGGCAGAGACTGGAGAGGTTCATCTACAAGCCAAGGACTGCCAGCCATCACCAGAAGCTAAGAGACAGGCATGGAACATTCTCTGGCAGAGCCCCGCTGATGGACCCTGCTAACACCTGGGTTTCAGACTTCTAGCTTCTGCAACTGTGACAGAATAAATTTCTGTTGTAAACCACCTTGTCTGTGGGACGGTGTGATTTTCTACGGCAGCCTTGACAAGCTGAAACACTCGTCAGAAGTTTAGGATTTTTTTTTTTTTTTTTTTTTAACTTCTGGTCTTTGTGAAGTTGAGATCCTGGAGATCTGGGTCAATTTCTACAGAGCCAGTTCTGGTTAAAAGTTTTGCCAACCTTCCTTTGGGGACCCCCTTCAAAAGGCCTCCTCCCGTGACAGAATGTAGAATTTGCCTTAAATGTGTCTGTCCCCAGCTTCACACTCACAGCAAATCTATCCACCAAAATGTGCTCCTCCTCCAAGGACTATACCTCTGACACCGGACACCCCGACCTTGCCACTGTTCTGTCCTCCTGCTCAGTCGCCATCCTAATCCAAGGGACTGCCACCTCCCCAAGACCCTAGAGATCATCCTCCAATGGCTCTGGTCCTTCTCTCTTGCCTCCCCTAGGCCTCCCACTACTCAGCAGCCTGAGGGACCTTTGCAAGTTACAGATCTCACTGTTGTCACTCCGCTGATGGAGAGCCTTCTGCAGCCTCCTGTGCTCATGAATCAAGTTCGAGCACATCAGGTGAGCCATGGCAGACTGAGTCACCACTGCAACTGCAGCTCACAGCAGACCCTCCCCAGTTCCCTCTCTGGGGAACTGAGACCCTGTTCCATCTGTCTTCCCTCTCCCTTGGACACCGAGTGGACAGGAGCAAGGGAGCATCATAGTGCCCGCTCTTTGGCAGAGCAGGACAAGTGTTCTGGAAGGTACTCAAAAGAAGAAGAAGAAAAAAAAAGACAAAAGTCTTCTGCAATTATGTCCGGGGACATGAACGGGGAATGAAGAAAAGAATCAAGACTTGACAAATCAAATCCCAATCGTTAGGCACAATGTGCTGGCCACAGGGTGAAGAGCTGGGGTCTGAACACGGAACACAGCACGCAGCCACTTACTGAAAAAGAAGTCAACTTTAATTATAACTGACCAAATGGTGTCCAGGAATGTCTCAAAACTGAACAAAAGAAACACGATAAAATTCTCTATTGAAGAAACCAAGTTTTTGCCAGCCCCAGGGCTTCTGAGGGTTGGGCCAAGAGTAGCCCACTCCTGGGGCCAGTTCTGTCCCCCACACAAGTTTCTCATCCTGAGAGGAGGGCTGGCAATAGGCGAGGCACCTGTCCCTTCCTATCATGCTGGAAACTCTTAGAAAAAGCCATTGGTGGGATGTGCCTCTCCTCCCACCCCATTCCTGTCTGAAGGTAAATGTAAAGCCAGGGAACAAGGCGAGGCACCCCAGTGCCCTCCTGGCCTTTCAGCCAAAGCTTTCCTCCAGTCCGCTCAGCTGGTGTTCCCAGTGCCCAGGGTGGGGATGAAATGAAATAAGCACTAGAAAACTCAAATGCCCCATCATCTCCACAGTCCAAGTCACAAAGCAGAATAAAACTGCCCTAACGAAAAGCACGGGCAGCTGGCCCTCAGAAGACACGCTCGAACTCCGTCTGATTGGTGGTGGCGGGATTGCGGCTCTGGTTGGTGGACTGCTGGGTGATCTGGCTGCCCTTCCGGCGCGGTGGCGCCAGATACTCGAACATGGACGTCAGGTGGGTGGACAGCATGCCCTTGAGATCCGAGGGCATCGGGTCTGACCAGAAGAAATCATGGTTGAGGGCGTCGTCACTGTCGATGCGCTGCGCGGGATCCAGCACCAGCAACTTATCGATGAGATCCAGCGCGTAGGGGTCTCGCACATAGGCCTTCAGCCTGTCCTTCACCTTCCGTTTCTGGCCCTTGACCAGGTCCAGCTTCTCAAATAGCTCGTACTTGTCCACATTGGGCCATACCTGCGCAGGAGGCATGGAGAGAAGATGGGTGTTAATTCAGGGGGCGCGTGGCTTGTCCCCTGGCTAGGCACCCGAGGAGACTAAAACTCTTCCATTCAGATGCTCCCAGACCACCCTTGGAGGACGAACTTGACCTCTCCAAGGTAAAAGCAGCAGTGACCACGTATCTGGCACACACCAAGTGCCAGGGCCTTTTATACAGTCACCTGGAATACATCCACCAAGCCTGATACAGGCATAGTTGTTTCATAGAAGAGAAACTCCGCTCCGAGGTGAGGGATTCAAATGCCCTCCCCAAGGCCATGAACTGTGATGGGGCGAGACTCACACATAGCCCGTGTGGCTCTAAAGAGCAGGCCCCGTCCGTCCACCAGCCACCTCTCCAGAGCGTTCCTTCTACTCCACTCCCCACTCCTCCCTTGCCAGGAGGACTTCTGGATCTCTGCATCCTGTGGGGACCAGGGGCCCAGGCGGCCGGGCCACGCACCTCAGGGGTGATGGAGCCACAGAGCTGGCTGATGAGGGCAAGCTGGTGCTGCTCGGTGTTGCCCTGCATGATAGGGCTGCGGGTCCACATCTCCGCCATGATGCACCCAGCACCCCACAGGTCAATGGGGGGGCCGTAGTCCCGCTCCCCTGGGAAGAAGAGCGCACCAGGAGGGCCCCTTGAGCCCGAGAGCCTCCTGAGACGCAATGCCCCAGGGCCGGCGGCTCAAGAAGCCCTGGCAGTGAGGGACTGAGGCCAGGTAAGTGCCCAGCCCCTGCCCCCCTCCACCCGCTCGGGAGTCCTCACCGAGCAACAGCTCCGGGGGCCGGTACCAGAGTGTCACCACACGGTTGGTATAGCGGTTGGGCTGGCTGTTCTTGGCCAGGCTGAAGGCCCGGGCCAGCCCAAAGTCTGCCAGCTTCAGAACCCCATCGCGAGTGATGAGCACATTAGCTGCCTTCATGTCCCTGTGCAGGATCTGCAGGAAGTGGGAGAAGGCTCAATCAGGTTTCCGGGGACCCTTCAGTCACACCCACCCAGCAGTGGGAGCCAAGGCCAACCCAAGCCTCAGTCCCTTTCCCCACTCTGACCCCTACCTTATTTCTGTGGATGTAGTAGAGGCCGTTGAGCAACATCTGCATGACCTTCTTGATCTCGGACAGTGTGAACTTGACTAAGACATTGCTCAGCAGCCCAGCAAGGTCATGCTCGCAGAAGTCAAACACTAGGTATATACTGCCTTTGCAGCGGTTATAGGGGGAAGCTGAGATGGGAAGAAGGGGGGAAGGGGGGAGAAAAAGAAAGTAAAAAACCCCACGTGCAACTCATTTTCCCACAACCAGCTTCTACCCCTCCAACCCGTGGACACTCGGATATCCGGCTGTGCATTCCTTCACTGGCAAACTATTTCCCGAGTGCCTCCTGTGGGCGGGGTGCTGTGGCAGGCCCTGGGGCAGCAACAGCCACGACGAAGAGACCCAAGACAGCGGTCACGGTCGGTGTGTCTGGGTTAAGAAGAGGCAATTTAGGTGTGTCCACTTCCAACTTCGCAAACAAAGCCTTAGGCTGTAAGTCTCATTTTCCCCATCTGAAAATGGGGGCAAGATCCAGACAATGTACCTTTGGTTCGACAGATCTCAATCAAGTTGACCACATTCTCATGTTTTAGAAGTTGGAGGATCTTGATTTCCCGCAAGGCTGTAATGGGGAACTGGTTAGGAGAAAGACAAGAGAGGATCAGAGGTGAGTGAGTGACTACAGACCAATGAACAGCCATGGAGTCCATATTAAGGGACACAGGTGGCAAAAAAAAGAGTAAGGTAATGGGCTCTGAAATCAGCTGCCTCAGACGTTTCATCTGTAAAACAGGCGTACGAGTAGTATGTGCTCCTGAAGCAGCTGGTGTGAGACAATAAACCAGAACAGTGGGAGTTGACACACATGCTTCACTACTAGTCACTAAATGCTCCACAGTTTCTTCAACCTTTAGATTTTAGCTCTATGTCTGTATTATACTAAGTGGTAACAAAAACATTTATTTAAAGAAATGTCCTTGCTAAGCAACAGGTCTCTGGGAAGCTGGACTAGGCCTAAGATGAGGTACGGAAGGGGACTGCTCCTTTTCAACTGAGTTCCAGCCACCCTCTCAAAGGCATCGCGTGCAATTTCTTTGTACCTTACACAAAACAAATGCTAAGGAAACAGTGTTTAAGCACTGTTTAAAGGCTTCCTAACTTCAGGAACCGAGGTGCACTCTGCAAGCATGAGCTCCCCCTCCTGGCCCCAACCATATTCACCTAAGAATGAAATACCAAATGCTCTAAAACATTTGAATAAAAAAATTCAATTCAAAAGTCAAGTTCTCTGGAATACAGAAATGCCCAAACTAATACACACACTCTCATTCATTCTCTCTCTCTCTCTCTCTCTCTCTCTCTCTCTCTCTCTCTCGGCGAGAGCCCTAGCACAAGCAGGGTGGAAACCCAACCCCGTGCCCAGGGGAGCTGGTAGGCCCGCCCACCCGGCCCATGCTCACCCCCTCCTTCTCGTTCTCCATCAGCACTTTCTTCAGAGCCACCTTTTTGCCGGTCTTACGGTGCTTTGCCTTAAACACCTCCCTGCAGGCCGAGAGGGAGACCCAAGAGGTTTCATCAGGCCGTTTCGGCAGGGCCCGCCCCTCCCCCACCAGAGGAGGAGGGCAGGAAAAAGGGATTCCCCGGGCGGGGCTGGGCCGGGTACCCAGGGCACTCCCCTACCCTGCCACCCACTATCTGCGGTCCTTCTCCGAGGCTCTACTTCCTCCCTTCAGTCTCCTCACCCAGGCGTCTCTCGGAGAGCCCGCTCCCCTCACAGGCTCCTCTCTGCAACCCCTCCCCGCCCCCCATCACTGGCCTCAGGCTCCTCCCCGCCAGCCGGCTCCGTCAGGCCCTGGCGGGCTGCGGTGCGGCCTAGCGAGACCAGGAGACACGTCTGGTACTCCGGGGCTTCCCGACCACCTGGGGCTCGGCCCTGGGCGTTCCGACGTCGGCCCTGAGGGGTGCAGGCCCAGGGTTCCCGGTCCCCCGGGGGGCGCAGCCTTACCCGAAGGTGCCTTGGCCGATCTTAGCGAGCTTCTCATATTTGGACACCTCATCACAAAACGGGCACTCCACCGAGTCGTACTGCTTTGCCATGGCCGCCTCCAGCGCGCCGCTGCCGCCGCCCCCAGCCGCTGCCGCCGCTGCTCCCGCTCCGGGTCCCGCCGCCGTGCTCCAGGCCCCTCCGCGGCCGCGCCACTTCCGCCTCCACGGCCACTTCCGGCCCCGCGGCGCCGACCCCGCCTCTTCCGCCCGCCGCCCGCCGCCAGGCCCCCTGGGACTTGTAGTTCCCGGGAGGCCAGGAGGAGCCGGAGCTGCAGAGGCGCCTCCGCCGCCGCCGCTGCCCCCGCCTCCGCCGCCGCCACTGTTGGCGGCGGCCCCGATCGGGGGCGCGGGGAGCCGGGGCGCCGGGGCTGGGGCTCGGGGCGGTGCGTCCCGCTGCATCGGCCCGGGCCGCCGCTGCTGCCGAAGCCGCTGCCGCTCTGGCTCCCGATCCGGGGCCAGCCGCAGTGCCCTGCTCCTCCTCCTCCGACGGCGCCGCCTCCGCCAGGCTGCGCGGGGCGGCGGGCGGGGGGGTTGGCCCCCGAGCCGCGGCCTGGGGGCTCCCTAGCCGGGCCCGGGCCCGGGGCGGCCGGGCGAGGGGGCGAGACGGGAAGAGCCGACGAGGAGGCGGCCCGAGAGCCCGGGAGGGGGCGCGTTATAAAGGGGGAGGTGCCCCAGCCTCGCCCTCCCCTCCCCCTCCGCCCGCCCCCTCCCTCCTCCCTCCCACCCTCCGCGGCCGCACCTGCCGCCGCCGCCGCCGCCGCCCGCCGCCCGCCCGCTGTCCGCCGGCCGCCCTCGGCGCGTCACCGCCCGCGGCCCCTCCTCCGCCTTCGGAGGTGGGGCCCCGCGCTCAACACCTGGCTGCGGGGCGCCTTGCCGCGTGCCTCAGTTTACCCCCCCAGGTCAGCTGCCGCAGAGGGCCCTCTCCTCCCCGGCTCGGAGTGCCCCTCCACAGGCGAAGGCGGGAGGCGCCGAGGGAGCGGCCTCCGGTCCTGGGAGGAGAGAACGGCCCCCGCCGCCGCCTCCCCGGGCCCCAGCCACCCGCCGTTGACATGGCAACCGACGGCCGCTAGGGGGCGCGGCGACACTGGAGGCTGTGAGCGAGCAACGCCCGGGCCTTCCAGCTCGACCCCCTGTTTTCTGGAAGGCAGGGATGAAACCCACAGGAGCCCCATTCCCGCCGAGCTGCGCCTGGGCTGGTCAACCTGGGTCAGTAATCACAAAAATAGCGTTTACCCAGAACCCCTGTGTGCTCAGGAATTGCTGGGCATTCCTGCTGAACCCTGCTGAATCCTGAATCAACCGCCCCATCGGCAGGTTGACTAGCCCATTTTACAGAAGAGGGCACTGAGGTTCAGGGAGGTAAGGTCATTTGCCCAAGGTCACAGAGTGACAGCTCTGGGACTGGAACCTGGTCTGGCAGATTCTGAAGAGGATTCTCCTGAGTCAGACTATTTACAGTCTGGCCAGGGGTATAGCAATGGTGCTGTTTGAGGCCTGCTGTCCGTATGCCAGGCACCAAGCCCACCACCCATGTCCTTCTCTGACCCTATGCCCCCTTCCCCTACTCCAACCCTTCCCCAGCATTTCCTGATAGCTCCCCGGCTCTAGGAGCCTCTAGGTTCTTCCTCCAGCTCTACTCAACAATCAACCCACAGCAAAGCAGTCCTTTCTACCCCCTCTGCACCCCTTCAGTCTGCCCCTCCTCTCCAGTCCTCTGCTGATAGGTCCTGAGTCCTGGTCTTCCCAGTCTGGCTTCTCCATCTGTCCCCGTCACAGCACCTTCCAGGTCCTTCTAAAATGTGCTCTGCCTGTATTTCCCTCCCCGCCTGTCTTTCACGGAAACACAAACTGTGACATTTGAAGCTCTTTCCAGCTGTCTCCCAGGCCGTGGTGGCAGGAATCTCCTTCCTGTGCTTTGCTAACTCCTTAGACCTTCCCGCCTTCGGGGCTGTGCTCCCCATTGCACCCCGTTATCTGTCTCCCTGCAGGACGCCCTCAGAGTGGCCCGGCAGCCCTTACCCCTCATGGCTGGGCCTTGCAGCCTCCTTGTAGGAGGAAGCAGGTCTGATTATCCTGGCGTCCCAAGAGACCCTGTTCTGGGGGAGGGCCCTGCCACGGAGGGCCTCGGGGGCCAGGTGAGCACCAGGGAGCCCCCTCCTGAGGGCAGTGGGAGGCCATCGAGGGTTTCAGGCAGCCATGAGACATGTCAGGGAGTGATCTGGGGTCAGCTTCATGGGTACACTGTAGAAGCAGGGAGGCCATTGGCTAAGTTAGGGGTGGGGAGGGCAAGGAGGGAAACTGTAGTAATTACAATTTGTGGAGGGAAAATAAATGGTTCAAGCCGTACATGCAGCACTTTCTGAGAATTATCTCAATTCTCACTGAGCCATAGGAGGTGGGTACTATGATCATCTTTGTTGTACACACAGGGACACTGGAACGCAGAGGTCACATCACCTGGTCAGGGTCAAAGAGCTGGCCAGCAGCCACATTGGTATTTGAACCAGGTTAATCTGGCACAAAGCCCAAGCACTTAGGCATGTCAGAGGTAGAGCTAGGGCACAGCCAGGGCCCAACACCGCTGGCCTAGGTATCCTGGATGCCCATGGGAGGCGTGGGAGGGAATGGTGGTATTGGGGGTGTACCGTGTCTGGGGTGGCCTCCACCGTCAGACTCTCAGCCTGGGCCCCCTGCCTGTTTCCCACGAGCTCTCCCTAAGTCACATCCTGTGGGCAGAGGCCTCAGAAGATGTTCCGGTGATGTTGTCACCTCCACCCGACCATCCCTGGTCTGAACCCCAACATCCGCCAGTCACTTCCCCTCAGAGCTTTGGGCCCTCGGCCCTCCCTGGCAGAGCAGTCAGGAGCCCTTCAGAAGGCGGCCCCCACTGCCCTGCCACGGGGTCCCGGATCATCCAGGTGGAAGTGCGAAGAAATTAGGTCCTAGCTGGAAATGATTTCTCACGGACTCTGATGACTTCTGATTTGCTGGTTTGAGGAAAATGTTTCCTGCTTCCGTGATCACCTAAGCTGGCCAAGCCAGGCATGTGGCCAGGACTCAGTAAATGCTTGCTGACTGACTGACCATACTGTGAGAGCCTCTGGTCCTGCTGCCATTTAACAGGGAAACTGAGGCACTGAGTAGAAGAGGGAGTTACTGGCCAGCTGTTTGACTCTGGCCCAGACCTTCTGTTTTCCTCTCCTGAGCAGGGACAGGTGTGTGTGGGGGGGATATGGGGGAAGCAGAAGACAGGCTCATGGGTGGGCTGCCCCTGGCTGCTAGGATGTCCCAGGAGACAAAGGGGCACTGGATACAGAGAGACCAGACGGAGGATGGCGGGGTGATGCTTGCAGCCTTGTACACCATGGACATTCTGCCCACGCCAGCTGGGTACTGACTCTGGGCTCAGCCCTGTGTTGTTATGTGTCATTTCCCCAGAGCTTTATAGTGTCCCTCTTAGGAGGTTGCTCATACTGGGCCCAAGTTACAGAAGAGGAAACTGAGGCTCAGAGTAATGATGTGGCCTGCCTGAGGCCACACAGCCAGGAAGCTATGGAGCTGGGATTGAAAGCCAGGTCTCTGCTTTCAAAGCCCAGGGTCGGGGTGCCTGGCTGGCTCAGTGGGTGGAGTATGCAACTCGATTTCAGGGTTGTAAGTTCAAACCCCACATTGGGCATAGAGCCTATTTAAAATTTAAAAAACCGAAAACAACAACAACAAACAAACAAAGCCCAGGCTCATTTACACATCAGCCTACACAACCCCCAATACCAGACAACTGGGTCCAGGACTGAGACCTACACTATAGCAGGCATGGGGCCAATATGGATATGGAAGGCCAATTCCTCTCTCAGGGAACAGGAGGTCCGTCGGGAACATGCAAATAAAGACGCAAGTGAATGTAATACGGATAATACTCGCAGTATAAATGTTTTATTTCATTTCCACAGGATCATGGGAAAGATGTTGTGTTTGTCCCATTTCACTGATGGGAAAAACAAGGCTCAGCAAGGTGACATGTCTTGCCCGGGGTCCTGCACATAGGATCTAAACTCAGGTTTGCCAGGGTCCAGTGCCTTTGACTATGAAGTTGAAGGATTCCAATCCCTAATAGTACCTGGCCAAACTGCAGGCCACTGAGTCACAGACTGGGGGAAAGGGGCAGGAGGGAGGGGACAGAAACCAAAGCAGGGTTCCCTAGGGTACTATGGCTCAATCGAGGCTCAATCTAGAGCTGGGGTCACTCAATGGAGGCAAAACTTGCAGCCAGTTGGTGGCGGGTGGGGGAGCAGTGTTGTGGGTGTGGGTCTCACTGAAGCAGAGGCCCGAAGGCAGGAAAGCACTTGTATGTTCGGGGCTAGAAGCACACGGGCTGCTCTGGGCTGGCCTCCAACGCAGGCTGAGGAGGGCCTGCAGGACAGCCACCCGCCAGCAGGTCCCCAGCCGCACTCCCAACGGCCACTCAAGGCAGCACAAAGGGGGCTCTGAGCTCAGCGGAGCTGCCACACTGAGCCCCATTCATTCTCCCAGGGACGCAGCCACTGCCCTGGCGCCCAGGCCAACGGCAGGACTGGCCTAAAGCTCACAAGCCACCGCAACACAGCCTCAGCACAGCCCGGGACTCCCAGCTCTCTCGGACCATGGGCTCTCCCCTGGGGTCTTCTGGGCCTGTGCCAATCTGCCCCCCGCCTGAACCACCCCCACCCCTCAGCAACAACCACCAGGCGCTGCTGAGGCCACAGCGGATTAGCCTGGGCAATATTTGCTCCTTTCATCCTCCCAACAACCTCTGGAAATGGGAGCTCCTGTGACCCTATTTCATGGATAGAAACTGAGTTCCAAAGAGGTAAAGTGTCTCATGAAGGGTCACACAGTAAGTCGGGAGTGCCAGAAACCCAGCACTTAGCCCAAGTCACTGGGACTGCCTCCCGGGAGAGAAGCCAGGGGAACCACCCTCTGCTTCGTGAGGAAGACCCCTAGCTACCATCAGGCCGCAGGCCCTTCTCTCTCTTCTGACAACTGGAGGTGGGAGGGAGCACCAGGCTGGAAGCTAGGACACCTGGGTGTCTGTCTGTCTAGCCTCTGCTCCTCTTCAGCCTCAGTTTGCTCATCTGTAAAATGGGACAGTACCAACACTCGCCTCACAGGTCTGTTGTAGGGACTCAG